TTCTGCTAATTTCAGCTTTTTTAGCTACATTTTTATCATTTCAGTGTTTTCTCCACGTCTGAGCTGTTTTTTGTTGCTGTTTTCAGCTTTTATTTTTTGCTTTCAGCAAGTGTCGGCTGTTCTAATTTAACTCAACAGTTTAGAGGTGAAACCTTTTCAGCAGAAATCAGCAACACGTGTTCACACTGCGTTTTAGCAAGATGTTTTTTGTTCTTTCTTGTCAGGTTGAAGCTGATGTTACAGCAAACATTTTCTTTTAGCACCAGAAAGTTCTTTGATGTTTTAAGACTTCGTCCCTTCAGAACTGAGACTTCGACTGAACAATTTTAATGTTTTAAAATTATATTTAGCAAAGAGGACTGCATTATTTCCCTTTAATCCGTCTTCGATTTATAACGTTCATATACCGTATTTTCCGGACTATAAGACGCACTTAAAATCCTTTTAATGTTCTCAAAAATCGACAGTGAGCCTTATAATCCAGTGCACCTTATGTATTAATTCTGGTTGTGCTTACTGACATTGAACTGATTTTCTTTGATACACGGCGCTCAAACATCTGTCCAAATAAACTTGTTTCGCTTAATGCACCTTATAGTCCAAAACATGCAGTAACTGGGATTCCTTTCTTTTTATGATTTAACCCGTTCACCTGTCGCACCGCTTCTGTACTCAGCGGTAAAATGCCTTTCAATTAGGCCGCAGGTCGTCGTCTTGCTGCTTCTCGTTTGACTGAAACCCGGTGACTGAAGGTTGGACACAGAACCCTCATCACCACGCGGAGCTTACGGCGCTTTAATTGGACCTTCACCGGAACGTCTTCACCGGGAAGCTGCTGCACAACGAGCCTGAACGGATTTGAAGGTTCCAGTCTCGTTTTATCGGCGGGGTCGTAGCGTTTGTCCGTCCGGGCTTCGACGTCTTAGCGGTTCACAGAAACCTCATAGAAGACTCCTCAAGTAACGGTCAACAGCCGAATAACACTCTGAATTTTAGCAAATGCTAAAAATGTCTGAAACTCAGCGGGTATTGAGCTAGAACTTGGCGTGGTAGTAGCTGAGACTGAGCCCATTTCACACTCTTGAGTGCTAACAGATCATATATCAAAACGGCTGCTGTTCTCATTTTGGTTCCAAACTCTAATTTCAATGTTATTTATATGTATATATTAGAACTTTAGGATGATGAATATTCATACATTTCTTCATCTTACTGACGACCCTGAAGCCTCTACAACACATACTTCGATAAACAGCTGGTAAGTTTTACTATTAAATCGTTTTTCGCGTCTTTTTGTTGGAGAGACTTAATAACCCCAGGAAGACCTCATGGGGATAATTTATGTATTTATTAATTTTATGATAGTACACACAACTATTCCTGACAAAGTCTAAAAATTATCTTATTGTGACATAAGTTTTTCAAAAACTCCCGTAACCTCTCGGTAACACTACTGCCCTCTAGTGGTCATTAAAGTAAAAAAAGACAAAAAAAACAGGAGATCCCTTTATAAATGCATTCTTTTTATCCAATATTTATATCGTTAAATAATGCATTCCTGTCAAGTAAGTTTTATTTTACCTCTAGCTCTATACTTTTCGTTTTTATATTAGTTCACTAAGAGATTCTTTGTTACACCTCTGTGAAAATTTACAGGGACAGACTTCAACTGACACCGTCTGGCTTTCCCGGCTGGACTTTACCGTCGAGTTCTGCCTCTCATCTCATCTCATCCGACAAAACACTCTTAGTTTGGATGTAAAGAGTAAAAACAAATTTGCGTGTTACACAAATAAACGTTCAGTATTAAAAAAGTAGCTGCACATGCATGCAGGCTGCAGAATCGGATGCTTCGTGTAAATCAGGATGTCAGTAGTAAACATTTAAATTATTTTTTTAAATGCTATAAAATAAATATTGTCTTTTTTTCTTTTTACTGAAAAGGGAATTTTTTTAACTAGACACTTTTAAAGAGGTACAATTTTCAACAAGATTTTTAAATTTAATATTTTTATTTCAGGCTGAGATAGCTCTAAAAGACAAAATGAATTTGTAAAAAAAAAAAAATTTCCCCGTAAATTTTAGGCAGTTATAAGAAACACCAACTGTCATTAAGTTAAAGGACCTTCCTGGGGATAATAAAAAAAATCTATATAAAGTTTTTACATCGGGCTTAGGAGAATTTATTTAGAAATATGACTGTTGATTGGCAAACATTTATATTTGAAGTATTTGTAAACCTACAAGTTAACCTCAGCAAAACAAAACAAACTTTACAGAACAATAACTTGTGAACCGGTCGGTGCTGGTGAACAGCTAGTTGTGGACCTCTGGATGCAGACTGCTGGTCGTGGATCCTTTGTTGCGGACCCTTGATTGCAGGCTGCTTGTTGTGGAGCTTTGTGGACTGTTGGTTGCAGACCCTTGGTTGTGGACTGTTGGTTGCAGACCCTTGGTTGTGGACAGTTGGTTGTGGACTGTTGGTTGCGGGCTTTTGTTTGTGGACTCTTGGTTGCAGACCCTTGGTTGTGGACTGTTGGTTGTGGACTGTTGGTTGTGGACTGTTGGTTGCAGACACTTGGTTGCAGACCCTTGGTTGTGGACTGTTGGTTGTGGACTGTTGGTTGTGGACTGTTGGTTGCAGACCCTTGGTTGTGGACTGTTGGTTGTGAACTGTTGGTTGCACACCCTTTGTTGTGGACTGTTGGTTGTGTTCCTTTGGTTGTGGACTGCTGGTTGAGGACCGCTTGTTGTGGACTGCTGGTTGTGGACTGTTGGTTGCGGACCCTTTGTTGTGGACCACTGGTTATGGACCCTTGGTTGTGGACCCAGTTTTAGAACGGCTTAATATGAAAATATTAAACTTTCCATGACCAGTTTAAACAGCAAATGAAGTTAAGAATTTTTTTCTTTCAACAAAATGAGAAAAAATGTAGTTTATTATTTTTATTATTCTAATAGTAGTTTTATAGCAAAAAAAATCGTATCATATTCATTTTTTTTTATATATTCCACTTGTGAATAGGATTGTTGGACTTACAAAGACTTACAAATAATCTGCCTTATTTTAGAATCATCAAATTATTACTACTAAAGGATGGACCTGCAGAAAATGACAGGGCTGCAGACGAATCATCTTGTTTGAACGTTTTTCATTTAGCTGTTTGTCTAAAGTCAGTCACAGCATTTGTCTACAGTTCTGCTCGTATTAAATCTAATCCAGTCGGGTCAAACCTACAAACAATTCATAATAAAAACTGGAACTCCTGAAGCGTCGTGAATAGAATAAAAAAAGAACCGTAAACACTCAGCCGAATAAAACAGATCAAAACGAAACAAAGTCACCGCTGACTCCCAGAGAATAAAGAGTAAAAATAAAATGTTTAGGAGCACGACGACCTGTTTTTAAATATTGATTCTGTAAGAAAAACCTTGAATCATGTTTCCAGAGTGGATCAAAGTAAAGTTTTATTATTTTATTGTTTGAAAGTTAAGAAACTGTGATTTATTTCTATTTTCCCTGTTTAGATGTTTAGATGAAGAGTTTAGAGCAGAGGCGGACGGAGGCAGACGGAAATAGAAAGACCCCCCCCCCCACACCACCACCACCACCACCACCAATAGGTCCGCTTTGGGAAAGAGTGGGGGGGCCGGGCGTGGGGGGGCTTGGATTAAGAGGCTGAAAAATGGTTCAAACGTGTCAACGTGTAATTGCATGATAAGGCCCCCTCGCGAGGAATCCGTTGGCCCCGTTGCTATTTTCTGTGGCGTCCCGGCTAATCTCCTCGCGCCACATTCAGTCTTGTGGAATCGCCCCCCTCCCCCGTAATCCCCCCCTCCCAACCTCGACAGGACCGGGTCCAACGAAAAAGCTGAGGGTTTTTATAGGAGGAGAGGGAAACATGCGGAGGCGTGATAAACTGACGCCCGATTATCCACGTTCAGGACATCAGGAGCCTGAACTGGGGGGGGGGGGTCGACGTCTGACAGGAGAGATTTTTGACCATTTCTTCTCAGTAAAAAGTCGATTTAACGAGTTCTAATTAATTTTTAATTTAATTTAATCGTTCTGAAATACGTCCGTTCACGAGCCTCGTTAATTAATGAATGAATTAATTAATTTCCTTTTAAAGAAAGTCCCAGAAGCAGCGGAGCTTTTCAACATCCTGAAATAACCCATTCAAATCCAGTTCTGTCTATTTAAAACGTCTTTTGCTGTTTATGATTGAAGATGTTTTAAATTAAAACGTTTAGATTTACGAACAAATCCTTTTAGACCGGAGCGCAAAAACATAAAGGCCAAAATAAATCCGAGGCCAGAACTATTTTATTTGTTTAAAATAAAATAGTTCAGAGTTAATTAAATTAATTAATTATTACAAATTCAGATTATTGGACGTTTCAAACATAAAAGCTGCAAATAAAAATAATTTTACTTCAACATGAAGTTAAAGTCATTGAAAAAATAATTGTTTATTGAAACTTTTAATTTTCTCTAAAGGGAACCCAGAAAGCTTTTATTTTCTTAACAAAAAGGCTTTTATTTTAGAGAGAAATCAGGACAGAGTAGATTCCTTTCCAGGTTCTGGTCCAAGACCAGGGCCCGGTTCTGTGTCGGGTCACCGCCCCCCTCCCCAGAACAGCTGGTTCTGTTTGGACCCTGCAGGTAAACCTCTTACTATTCAGAGGCCCAAATAATTCAACTAATAACACAAATAATTTTAATACATTAAGATCCAATTTAATCTTAAAAAAATAATAATTTTAGAATAAAAATAATAATCCTCATTTAGGCTAATTAAAATATTAAATTGATATTTTAAATTTTTGTGAAAAATAAACGACAGCTTCGTAAACTATTTTCATTTTAATATTTTCATTTTATTTGGACTCGGATGTTTTCGAAGGCCGTTTTATTTGATAAATTAAAAAAAATAAATTAAAGTTTTCAGGAACAGATTTTTGTAAATTCATAAAAGACTTTTTTTTTTTTTTTTTCCCCAGATTTATTCACAATTTGACAACAAACACCGACTCACATCACAAGCATCGGAACCGACCCGGCTCGCACTTAAACCGGGTCAGAACTTGGCACGGAGCGCGCGTGCAACGACCCGCAGCCTCCTCGGTGCGCTGATCCAAGTCCCTTCAAAAGTGGTCCAGAGTTTTTGGGTCAGATGTGCGTGAGCGGCACCGTCCCGTTCCCCGGGGCCGGCCCCCCCTGGTAGTGCTGCGGGTGCAGGACGTGCAGTCTGTCCCCGGGGGCCGCCTCCCCCGCCGGCAGGTACATGCTGATCATGTCCCGCAGGTCGCCCGCGGGGCAGGGGGGCGGCTGCGCGCGCGCCACCGGCGGGCTCACGCTCGGCTCCGCCTTGACCAGCGGCCCCGGGGAGAGGCCGGGGCTGTGGTGGGGGTACCAGCCCGGGGGGGACGCGCTCATGTAGCTCTGCGAGTTGTAGGGCAGCCCCCCCATGTCGTACCTGTGCGCGTGCTGCGGGTGGTGGTGCGTGTACAGCTGCGCCTCGTGCATCATGGCGTGCGCCGCGGCGGCCACCTGGCCCGGGTACGAGCCGTTCGCCCAGCCGTTCACGTGCGCGGCGTAGCCCGCGTGCGGCCCCCCTCCCGGGCCGTCCAGCCTTTGGCCCCCCACGGAGTACTTGTCCTTCTTGAGCAGGGTCTTGGTCTTCCGGCGGGGCCGGTACTTGTAGTCCGGGTGCTCCTTCATGTGCATGGCGCGCAGCCGCTTGGCCTCGTCGATGAAAGGTCTCTTCTCGGCTTCCGTCATCTCCTTCCACTGCGCGCCCAGCCGCTTGCTGATCTCCGAGTTGTGCATCTTGGGGTTCTCCTGGGCCATCTTCCGCCGCTGGCCCCGGGACCACACCATGAAGGCGTTCATGGGCCTCTTGATCCGCTCCTGGGGGGCCTTGCCTCCTCCTCCCGCGGGTCCCCCCGGGGTGCTGTGGGACCCCGCGGGGGGGTGCAGGTCCGTCTCCATCATGATGCTGTACATTCAGCCGTCAGGCTCGGAACCCGCTCAGACAGAACCCGCGCGGACACATCCACGAGCGACCTGTGGGAGCTGCGCCTCTGTTCCGGCTCTGGACCCCCCCCATAAAAACAACATAAAGTTGTGAGCGTGGCCGGGCCGCGCGCTCCGACAGCAGCTAAATGAGCGCGAGGCGGCCAATGGAGAGGCTCGTGATTTACATGCAGGGGGGGGGGGGGGGGCTTCTGGTGACGTCGACCTATGAACGAGTCCCTGCGTGGAGTTCTGTGGAGGAAAAAAAAACAACAAAACTTCTGAAACGGTCCGGTTCGGATCCGAGGGACCGGAAGCTCCTCTCCAAAATAAGGTCAAATAGAAATATTTCAAATTAAACTTCAGTTTAAGACTTTACTCTTTTATATATTTAAAATAATGAAAATAATTGATGTAAAAAAAAAATTTGAGCCACAGGTTTTGTTGGGCTCGTTGCCATGGAAACCGCATCCATTCAGCATCTCTTGTCGGAGCTCCCATTAGGAGAAAAATGGTGTTTCATATTTTTCACATAAATGAACCGAGGCCGGTTCTGTTGGAATCAACTTTACTGATTATTATTAGATACACATCATATTTTATTTTTTTATGGCATAAATAAAACAAACGATTAAAAACCAGGACATTAGAAAATCCCCTGCAGCTCTGAAAATCTGCACTTGCTCCGTTTATGGTTTAAATTTTGATGCTTCAAACAATTTCATCCTTAAATGATTGTTTTGGGGTTAATTTAATCTAAACTCATCCGGGTTTTTGTTTATAATTCATAATTTTTGCAGACTTATCTGATTTTTCCTACTTAATGCAAATTACGTAATATTTTTCGTAGAGCGCGTTTTCAGTTTTTATATGAAAAATTAAAATAAACATGGAAATGTTTTTAAAAGGCTACAAAACAAAATATAAACATCTCAAACAAACGACTCGTAAACAAAGTCACCACCTGTTAGCAAAATATTTAATGACAACAGCTGAGTCATCTTTAACAGTCCGAGCAGGGATGCCACCAAGGGGTGGGGCAGGGGGGCACCCCCCACTTTCTTCTAGCTACTACCTATTTAGGATTAGTAGAATATTATATAGACATAAAAAAAACATATTTTTGAGCTATTAGGTGTAAATATTTAAATAAATAAAATTTTAAATGCAAGTTGAGCTCGTCCCGCTGAATGAAGGCAACGGGTCTAAAACCTCTCAGGTAGTGGAACTTGTGGCAACAGTGAAAAATACTTTATTTACCTTTTAATCACCGTCGTTTGTTCACGGTAACAAAAAATTCAAATATTTTCTTTATTAAAACTTTCCTTCAAATTAAAGTCGTAGAATTTTTTATTATTTTATTGGAAAGAGGACAGGAAGCCACGCGTAAGGGCAGCGGCGTTACATGTGTATGTAAAGATGTGACCCGTAAAGCTGGACTGATGTGGACCTTCCAGATGTTCTGATTCTGTTCATCACATGATCCGTGATATTACCTGAAAAATAACAATTAGTAATAAACAACTTTTGAACTTTTATATCTTCAAAGTTTTCGGCGGCAGCATCATAGACCTCCTAACGTTCTTCCATGGCGTTACTGATATGATTGACACCTGTCAATCATCTGTCAATGCATTCCTTTAATTAGAGCCGCCAGGAGAGTAGGAATACGTGTAGAGGTGATGAGGAACATCTGCTGCTGGTTCCCGTCCGTTTGAACCACACCGGCCTGGATTATTCATCAACAACCCTAAACATTTCTCATTGATCAAATTATCTGAGCAGCTACACGGACAAATGGACGGGTTCAGTTGTGAGACGGACGTTTTCCGGAGGACTGGGTCGTCTTGGCGACGTCTCACCACGCCGTCTGGAGCAGGGTGACCTTTGGGAGCTGACAGCCGAGGTTCGGTTCAGCGCGACACCTGGACAGAAAAAGAGACACCGCTGTGACGGCCATCTGCTCCGTCACATCGCAGCCTTCTTCCGGTTGTGGCTCCGGACGCTTCGATCTATTTTTACTTCGGGTTAGTTACTTCGCCGTCTTCAAGGAAAGTTGACTGAACTCAAAGATGATGTCGTCACTGCCTTTTTCATCGTTTTCTGTTGGGGGCGACACTTTAACAAACGGTTCAGATTGTCGACGCTGAGCCCTACCTCTTATAAATCCTAATAAACCATTATAAACTCTTAAAAACCCTTATAAACGTTTTAAAAACCCTTATAAACCCTAATAAACTCTTAAAACCCTTATAAACCCTTATAAACACTTAAAAACCCTAATAAAC